AGACAGACAGACAGACAGGCAGACAGACAGACAGACAGACAGGCAGACAGACAGACAGACAGACAGGCAGGCAGACAGACAGGCAGACAGACAGACAGACAGACACCTGAAGGCCTGGGGGTGGATGTAAGACAGTCGAGGGTTGTTGCAGAGCTCCAGTTTGGCGATTTCTGGAAGATTCTGGAAAGCTGATCGTTCCACCATCAACAACTCGTCCATGTTGTTCAGACTGCAGCCAAAACACACAGTATTATTATTATTATTATTATTATTATTATTAATGCAAGTGTGTGTATTTTATTTTAACACTGTTCAGTCCCTCGGTTACAGTAACTCAGTCTGTCTAGCAGAAACATCTGTTTACTCTGGGCTCAAAGCGCCGCAGTGACACAAATTAAAGGGACAATATGTACGTGAGGTGAAAAATAGCTTTGCATTTGGTGTGATTTGATAAGAGCCCACTTCTACTTCAAGTGCATACCATGAAACGACATTTGGTGCAGCTGTATTGTCGTGGTAACTTTTAGCTGAGCAGAGTGGGTTCATTATAAACAACTTAAACCAAAAGCAGCTCATCTGGGTCGCAGGTATTTTGGGAGTTATTCACACTACAGTGAAAATTTGTTATAAATCTGTAGAAATGCAGGAGATGCATTTTTTATACTGACCTCAGCTCCTCCAGGTGCTGAAGGTTCTGGAAATCTCCCTGCTGGACTCGGCTGATCGGGTTCCTGTTCAGATCCAGGAACTTCAGGTTAGGGAGCATGCTCAGAGCGTCCCGAGGAACAGACCTACCGGGAGAACAACAGTCCCATCAACCCGGTGGAACAGTGAGAGACGGTTTAAAAGGGGGACTGAACCAGACACTCACCTGAGCCGGTTGTCGAAGAAGGAGAGACTCTCCAGGTAGTCGAGGCCCAGGAAGGCGGCAGAGGGGACCGAGGCCAGTCCCATCCCAGCCAGCACCAGGCTGTGGAGGCGGGACAGAGGTAGGAAGTTCTTCTCCTCCAGACCAAGGATGGGGTTCTCCCCGATCATCAGGATCTCCAGGGACGGCAAGGACTCGAACCAGCGACTGTCGATGGCCACCAGCCGGTTGGAGTTCAGGTGGAGCCTAAAGGGCCGAACAAAGGGCAGAAAATGGGTTTAGAGAAGAGGTTGTACGGGTAACTGAGGAGGTTCTAGTGACCATTCAAGAGATTCTGAATGACCTTCAGGTAGTCCTTGAGGTTTTAGCAGGTCAAGGGTCCTTTGGGTGGCTCTGATGGTCATTGGGGTGGACCTAGTTGTCACTGAGGAGCTTCTAGGGATCCTATAGATGGTTCTATGGGTTCCGTATGTGGTTTTCGGGGTCCTTAGGGACGATCCAGTGACCATATGAACCTCATATTAAGTCTTCTAAGAGGTTATGGTTACTGAGGTGGAGCAGGGACTCCTGTAGCGTTTGAGGGTCATTCAGGAGATTATAGGGGTAATTTAGGGGGCGCTTGAGGTCCTTTAGGTGGTTCTAGTCTATATTTAGGTGGTTTTGGTCATTGAAAAGGTTAAACCTCAATGATACATCCTAACCCCTAAACCCTAACCCTAAGGTTGGCACTGGTGGACAGGTGGGTTTTAGAAAGTTAAAGGTCCTTTGGGAGGTTCTAATGGTCCCACATTAAACAGTGTTAAAATAAAGAAGAAGTTACCGCAGCAGGTTGGTGAGTCCAGCAAAGGCTTTGGGTCCAATGGAGGAGATGTGGTTGTGGTTGATGTAGAGCTCCTCCAGGCTGGACAGGTTCCTCAGACTGAAATCCTCCAACTCCTCAATGTGGTTCTCCTCTAAGTACAGAGTCACCAACCGGCCCAGAGAGGAAAGACCTATAGAGCTCACCTGGACGGAGAGAGAAACAGTTTCTGGATGATAGTGGATGATAATGAATATACGGCTTCATACGTTGTCATGTGACTAAACAGGTGTGTTACCTGTGTGAAGTGGTTCTGTGACAGGTCCAGTTCGGTGAGGTTGGTCAGGCTCTGCAGTTCGGTAGTGATGGAGGAGAAGTTGTTACTCTGCAGCAGCAGAACCTGAAACACACATTTACAACAAATTCATCACAAAGTCGCTTCAGATCAAATAATAGAGGTAAATCAGTGCACGCTCCCCTGAGGAGGACCGCTCCCCTGAGGAGGACCGCCACCCTGAGGAGGACCACTCCCCTGAGGAGGACCGCCACCCTGAGGAGGATCGCACTGTGTGAACCGCTTAATGGCACCGAAGAGAGCTGGCAGATGCCAGAGCAATAAGTTGGGTGTGTTTCTAGAGTTACTGAGCGTTACGGTTACCTGTGTGTCAGATGAAATGTTGGCTGGTACTCTCTGCAGATGGAGTTCGTTACAGTCCACCGTCCTGGCCTGGTGGTACACAGACTGTGGGGTGTACCAGGGCCTCGTCTCACACACACACTGCAGGGGACACAGCACGGCGCCAGCTACAGGACACAGCACACACAACCAAACCTCTGCTGTAAAAATGTGTCTTTGTGGGGCCGTTCATCGTGTCCATCTATAAGCCTTTCCTTTACCTTGACTGGCCCCGCCCACTCCAGCACACACTGATGATGTCACCAGGGAGAGGAGAGTGAAAAGGACCGCAAATCCCATGGTGCACTTGGGCTGGAGCAGAGAGGAAGTCTGGTTTAAACTGTGGCGATAACTTCCTCCAGAAGGTCAGAGGGAGGCGAGTCTCATCTACAGCTGGATGGAAACACAGGAAGTGATGTCATTAACTGAACTGGTTCAACTCTCAAAAGTTTATACTTCTGAGCAGTTTTACTTTATTAATTTATTGTTGGATAAATTCAGAAGATTTCCTAATTTCACTTTTGGATCAGTTTCAGATGATTCAGCAGCATCTGATGCTGACGGAGGACAGTCAGAGGACAGTCAGA